CTACCTGCCCATCTGACTGAGGATGTAGAGCAGTAGTCCTCGTCTTCCTAATCCCTAAAAGATGTGTTACCTCTTGAAAAATTTTAGATTCAAAATTTTTACCTTGATCGGTATGCACTTCCAACGGAACTCCATGTCGAGAAACAAATTGTTTCACGAAAACATCAGCTACCGTTTTTACTTTAATATTTTTTAAAGCAAATGCCTCTACCCACTTGGTAAAACAATCAATAATCACTAACAAATATCGATTTCCAGCTGTGGTAGTCGGAAGAGGGCCAAGTATATCCATTTGTACCCTCTCAAATGGAAATCCAGCATCAAATACTTGAAGAGGTGACTTCCCTTTTCCTGATGGACCTCTCCTTGCTACACAAACCTTACAGGAACGGCACCAATCCTCCACATCATTCTTACATGTGGCCCAATAAAAACGCTTTCGGATCTTCTCTAACGTCTTATTTACACCAAAATGGCCACCAGACGCAGAATCATGAGCCTCCTCCAAAACTTGATTGATGAAGTTCTTAGGAACAATAATCTGGAAAATTTCTGATTTAAGGTTAGGGGATTCCCATCTTTTATATAAAATTCCATCTCTAATAACCAAAGCATCCCAGTAGGACCAATAAACTTTCGCAGAAATATCTCTATTAATTTCTTGCAAATCAGGACGTCTATTAATTTCTTTCCCTTGAAGGAACATTGAAATAATAGGATCTTCTAATTGTTTATTCCGCCATTTCTCTGAACTATTTTCTCCAAGAATAATTCTAGCAACAAAATTTTCTTTCAATTCTACTTTGGCACAATAAACACAACCGAGTTCTGAACAAGGGCGTCTTGACAAACCATCAGCATTCTGATGCAGTCGTCCTTTTCGATGAATTATTTCGAACTCGTACTGTTGCAATCTCTCTAGCCATCGAGCTAATTGTCCTTCTAAATCTTTGAATGACAAAAGCCATCTCAAAGAAATATGATCCGTTCGAATTTGGAATTTCCTTCCATATAGATAATGATGAAAAGACTTCATTGATGCCACAATTGCTAATAATTCCCTTCGTGTAATGCAATAATTCCTTTCTGCTTTATTCAAGACTCGACTGAAATAAGCGATGACTTTTTCTGAACCATTCTGAACTTGCGATAATACCGCTCCTATCCCATGATTCGAAGCATCCGTATCCAAAATGAATTGTCCGTGTTCCTTCGGAAAAGATAAAATTGGCGAAGAAACTAATCTCTCTTTCAATTCATTGAATGCCTCTTCACAAGATGAATTCCATTCAAATTTTACTTGATTTTCTGTAAGAACAAATAACGGTTTAGCTATCAAAGAGAAGCCTTTAATAAATTTCCTATAATAAGAACAAAATCCTAGAAAACTTCGAATTTGTTTCCTATTCTGAGGAACAGGCCAATTTCTGACGGCAGAAATCTTCTCAGGATCCGTCGTAATTCCATGTTCAGAGATAACATGACCAAGATATTTTACTTCTCTTCCAAAAAGCGAACACTTCTTAGGGTTCAATTTCAAATTTGCTGAGCGAAAGCGAAGAAAGACTTTCCTCAAATTTTCCATCATCCCCTCGAATGTTTCACTGAAAACAATCACATCGTCAAGATAAACTAAACAGATCTTCGATAAAACATCTTGAAGAACTTTCTCCATCAACCGTTCAAAAGTAGCGGGGGCATTGCAAAGTCCAAATGGCATGACAGTAAATTGCCACAATCCATTTCCCACAGAGAAAGCCGTCTTCTCCTTGTCTTTGGAGTCCAGCTTTACTTGCCAATACCCGCTCTTCAGATCCAGAGTAGAGAACCAAGAATTTCCTGAAAGTTGATCCAAAATATCTTCAATTCGAGGCAATGGATATGAATCTTTCACCGTGACAGAATTCAGCTTCCTATAGTCGACGCAAAATCTTAATGATCCATCTTTTTCTTTACCATTACGACAGGAGAGACCCACGGACTTTTAGATTCTTCAATAACTCCCTGAGACTTCATTTCTTTAATGATTTTATTGACTTCCTCTCTTAAATGAATCGGAACTCTACGTGGAGCTTGTTTAATCGGCCTAGAATCCGTAACCTTAATATCGTGTTTTAAAATTCCACAGTTCCCTGCAATCAAATCCTGAGAAAATACATCCTGAAATTCTAATAAGAAATTGGCAAAAATATCTTTTTGAGAGGAATTCAAATTTTTAGAATTTTCCCCGAAAAATGTCTCAAGAAAATCAGGGACTTTCCCTTTAATAATTCGAAAACAAAAAAATTCATTTTTATTATTCTCTTCAATATTTCCAAATTGGGATTCAAAAACTTTTTCTAAATTTATTTTTTCAAGAAAATCTATCCCAAGAATGCAATCATCAGAAATGTTAGCAACAATTATAGGAATCTCTACTTCATGCTTTCCTAATTCAATCAAAACGTTAACTTTATATTTTACTCCAATTAATTCCCCTGTAGGATATTTAAGATAACAATTGTTTATTTCCAAATATTCTTTCGATTCTTTCAAAAATCCCTCTCTAAGAATAGAAACATCGGAACCCGTATCTATTTTAAATCGACAAATCTTTCCGTCCAATTTTCCTTTATAATAAAAATTATTTCTAGTTCTACTTATTCTAGCACATTGTAAAACATTTGGGGCTATCACGCAATTAGCCGAACCTGCCCCGCGAAGTTCGACTAAACCTTGTTTTCCGTAAATGACGGACATTCAGAACGGAAGTGCCCCTCAGCGCCGCAATGCCAACATTCCTTTTTGCCTTCGGACCGTTCCTTTGAAAATATTTATTATTATACGACTTCCCTTTCTCGTTATGTTTCTCTTTTGTTTCCTCGTTTTTCTCTTTGTTCTCAAATTTATTAAATTTATTAAATTTATTATATTTATTATATTTGTTATATTTTTCAAAATTTTGATTTGGGAAATTTTTATTTTTTTGAAAACTATTTTCTTGAATAACTTTTACTGCCATTGCTCTCTCTATGGCAGATTTTAATGAAATAACGCTTTCTAATTGAAGAGTTCTCTTCAAAAAGCCGTCTGATATTGCAGTAATAAATTGTGCGCAAGCAATTTTATCTCTAACTTCATGAGAACACTCAGGATAGGCTAATCGCGACAATCTGTCTAAATCCGCGCCAAGAGAAGCCAAATCTTCCGAACTCTTTTGTCTACGATTCGTAAATTGCGCGTAATAAGACTGAGCCGAATGCCCTTCACCGAAACGTAATTCTAATTTTGACTTTAAATCCGCGAACTCTAAATTTTCAATCTCCGAAATTCCATCCAAAACGGTCCGCGCTTTCCCTCTTAAACAAGCGGCAAGAGCCAAGGTCTTTTGAAACGAATTCCAACCATTAGCTCGCGCTATAAAATCGAACTGGGCAATAAATTCGCGCAAGGGTACACTCCCGTCAAAATTCTCGGGTTTGAGCTTATATCCGAGCTCAAAATTATTGTGTAAAACATTGTTCGATTCGCTATTTCTACGTGTGGTGTTGTTCGGAATTCTATTATGTGTGTGACTTAGCTGGTTATTTTCCGATGAGGCGAGTCTTTCCTGTAATCGGTGCAGTTCCTCGTCCCGCTGTTGCAGCATCGTCAAAAATTGAGCCTGCTGTTGTGAGCGTTCCTCTCGCAATTCTCTAATTTGTTCCAACGCCTCCTGTAAAGCGTCCACGCGCTCGAGAGTTTCCTCGCTGTTAATCGCTCGAAGTGGAGTCGACTGTTGTTCTTCGCCGATCATTGCTCGTGACGAAGCTTGCGAACGAGTAATCCTCGGAGAATGCACCAAAGACATCGTAACCTTTTCACCGCACACACACACGAAATATTTGTCCTTTTTTTACTACGGTTCGTGGCTCGTGTTACGTCCGAACGATCCCGGACGAGCCCCCAAAATGTTACGTCCGCGACCACCCTTCTGATTATCTCGAAGAAATGTCGCGCGCACTCAAACTCTCACACGCCGGAAATGAATACACTCGCGTAGTAAAGCAATAAACTTTAATATTAGAAGCCAATAAACCGTAGCGATACAATATAATATTACGTGCATTAATCCTAATGCAAATATATCCGCCGATCAGCTGTCAGAGGATACGTCCTCACCGCACGACAGCTAGACCAGAACAAAACGCATCGATAGACATAAACAGCTTCTTAGCGACGATAGAAGATCCTGATAGAAGACCCTGATAGAAGACCCTGATAGAAGACCCTGATAGAAGATCCTAATAGAAAATCCTGACGATCGTATAATACAGGGATGTATCGTCAAACCGGGCGGGACACGGACATAACAATATTATATTTATATAAATGTATTCACATAAAATTAGTACATTTCAAAATCTTATAATAAATTAATAATTAAGATATCACAGTACATTTCTTAACTTTATAATAAAAGATTTTAAACAGTACTTTTTATTAATGTATTGTTTATATCAATCTCATAAACGCGCGTCAATTTTATTCAAGATGTTCAAAAAGTTATACAAATTAACCAAAATAAAAACTAACAATGCATAGAATAAATTTAATTAAAGACAACTTTTGTAACACGTGTAATTTTATTTCAATCTTTCGAAAGCAAAATAAATCAAAATGAACTAACAAATCATATTAATCAAATTCTTAATAAAGACAACTTTTGTAACACGTTAATTTTACTCAAATCTTTTCGGAAGCAAATTAATGAAACGAACTAAAAAATTAAAATATTAATAAAAATAAACTAAATAAATGCAAATATGTTCATCACAGAATATCTTTGGTACATTGTGCATTATCTTTGATAAGTTTTTTTTAGTAATTTGTCAGACAGTTTATGGTGAACTTAAAGATTTATCGAATACTGTCCACCAATTTCTTCTGTATGGATAAATATATTATATTATTATTTAAATTCTGTAGTTCTTGCAGAATACCCTTATCAACTGCTAATTTTCTTTATTTAATTGTTTTCTTGTTTTAGTTCCAACATTTTTTGTTTTAAGTTTTCCGATATAGAAGATTTCCTTTCTAATAAGTTCATTGCAGTTGTCATAAGTTTTGGTTTCTTTATACCTAAATAAAGGGATGTTTGTAAAAAAAACTGAAAATTTATAACTAAAACTTAAAACTTATACACAGTATAACCATACCCAGTAGCGACAGTAAGCCATTTAAACGTGTCTCAAATCTGAGTGAGCATGTGCGAACTTATACCCTTAGCAACATGGCTGCCGTCAGCTGCTGTAAGCGGGTTATTATATGTTGTGTAGTTCTAGAAATTGCGTAATAAGATAATTAGCTCGATATTATTTTTTTAGGAAGGAATCTATGCAGAAATATTTTTCTTAATAAATTCTTTGAATATAACTTGAATTATAAAATTTGAATTACATATTAAAAGATATTATTTTTTATTACACATGTATATATACAAGAAATGGAAGAATGCCTCTATATATAAAGTTACACATATATCAGACATAACTCGATTACGTGCTTCACAGCTTAATATATTTATATTTGTTTATATTTGTTTATATATTATATCTTTATATATTATTTTAATATTTTACTGAGACAGCGTTATCGAATATCTATAGTCATAACACAAATATCAAAATATCGAAGCATGTCGGATTATGCCCAATATGTGTGTAACTTCAAAAAAGCATTCCTATCCCTGTGTATACATACATTTGAATCGTAGCGCCCGTTACCCTTAGCAATATGGCGGCATACCACGTGACGTTGCCGAGTTGAGGCATACTACATCAAAGGTGCCAACGCTCACTGTCGCTACTGGGTATGGTTATACTGTGACTTATATGTGTAAATATTAATACATTTTTTATTTTTCGTACCTTCTGAATATTTTGTCGATGCAAGTCCCTTAGCACTTGGAGCTGTAGAGATTGCCTGAGTATCTTGCTCCTATTAATTATATAAAAACATAATATGAAATCACAATCAGGATTTCTAAAAATTGCAGTACTATATTATAAAAAAATGATAATACATACGAAAGCATTATCGTCGTTTTCATTAGATGATGAATCGAATACATTGGTCATAACTTTTGGTTTCTTCGTACCTAAACAAAGGAATGTAATTACAATATTTATTATACATGTAAATATTAATATATTTAATATAAAAAATGGTAATAATTCAATCGACCAACTCTAGCAAATAAGTAAATTTATATAATATATTTAATATAAATTAGATTTTTTAATATCTTTTAAATATTTTGTCGATACAAATCCCTTTGCTGAAGCTGTATAAATTGCATGATTATCTTGCTTCTATTAATTATACTTAAAACTTAAAACTCATTTACCTCGCTTAGAGATAAAGAAGAACAGCTATAGTCGAATATCCCGTTCTATTAACTTCTAGTGAGCGCTACACAAAATCTGCTATGATCTTCTTTATCTCCCTTAGTTAATATTATTTGATACATACTATGAAACGCAGATTCACTTAAATCTATGACTTATATATAAATAAATATATGGGTAAGCATAACATTTGTTCCTGTATATACAAACTTATTTTTGTTAACTTTATGGTGTATACTGTTGTAACTTGTCTCAAAAAAAAAAAAGGAAAAAAGCACCATATATTTATACTACTTAATTTTAAATGCGTCACATCTTATTAAATTCGGAACGGAATCAGGGCAATAAACTCGACCACCGCCAATATTACATCCGGTTCCATAGAGTGCAGAATTTGTTCGACGCAATAAGGTCTGTGAGAAGTTAATCCTCCAATTCTGAAAATGAGCTGATTTCTGTATGTGTCAAGAAGGTTACTGCTTGAAACTGCCAAAACACATGGTTGGGTGACTGGCAAGGATAACCACATTTACACATTGAAGAAAGCACTATCTGGAACTTCCACAAGCTCTCTGTCAGCGAAATATGATTCGATCTCAGTCTATTCAAGGAAACCACATCCCTACGATCTATTTTTAGTTTGTTAAACCAAGGTTTTCTACGTGGCTTAAAGTAATTTTAAAATATTTTGTGCCCTTCATGATTCCCTCCGTCTGCGCCTAACTGTAAAAATCACTAAACATTGATTCCCTCCATGTAGCCTTAAAATCCCCATAGGAAATCAAAAGCTCCGAATCCACGCCTACCGTGGCCGTCTCCTTTGCGACCAGGTCGACTCTTTCATTATACTCGATGCCTATGTGAGATGGGATCCAGTGAAATGAAACCTCTTTGCCCTTATTATGCGCTACCAGAATTAGATTCAGAATTTCCAACATTAGATTAGATCGTGACCTGACCCTCTTATCAGATATGAGAGCCTGAAGAACACTTTTGGAGTTCTAGAAGATAACTATTTCTCTTTTCGTTGATTCAAGCGATTCCCGCAATGCGGTTATTATCGCCATCGCCTCATATGAAAAAATAGATGCCCTGTTAGATGATCGCAATTTGAGACATTTATCGCTATGTACATTTAAAACCGCACATCCCGAGAAAGGATGGCCCTTAATTTTAGAGCCGTCCGTAAAAAACCATTCTTGTTTCTGATTCTGAGAGAAGAGAGAATCAAAGAGATGTGCAGCATACGGCTCTTGCTTGAGTTGTTGACCCTCCTCAAACGAAACACAAAGGAGGATCCCGAAAAGCTCTTCGGGAAATGAGCAGTGCACCGGAATGTCACATAAAAATGTCAGATGTGCTAAACCCTCCTGGGTTCTAAAATATTCCAAAATAGGTGGAGGAGAGAATCTCATAACCTTCACCGGACTCTCCACGAACTCACGGATTTCGTTCAGAATGGGGATGAGCATGTGTTTCGTTTTGGCGAGAACCCCAGAAATATAGCTCATACCCAAGTATTTAATTCTAAGTTTCATTTTCGGTTCACAGGCCTCCGAAAGGACTACGTTAATCGGAGTGGATTTTCTATAACCCATGGCAACTTTCGCTGCCTGATTCTGGATATATCCAATCCTATTCCACAAATACTGTGGGACATTATTCCAGATAAAAGCACCATATTCTATTCTTGATCTAATCAAACCCTTATATAGTCTGAGTAGCAATAAAGGATCAGAGCCCCACCAAGTATTTCTCAAAAACCTTAAAAGATTCATAGGATTATTACATCTTACACTAATCCTTTGTATATGGTCATTCCATTTTAGTTTATTATTGAGTAGTAAACCCAGAAAGCTCATTGATCGACTCGGCGTGATTAATGAATCTCCAATCTTCGCCGCTATACTTTGTCTAGCACTACCCCAGTAACATCGAAATCTTGTAGAAATCTAAAAGATATCTCATTAAAGAAATCTTCAAGATATTTCTAAAAGATATCCAGAAGATATCTAAAGATGTCTAAAAATACTTTATTCAAGATTTCTTTGTAGAATTTCTAAAAGATACCTTTAAATATCTGAAAAGACATTTTAAATGATATCTTTAACATATTATGTAATATACATATTAAAGATATCTAAATAATTTCTTTTAAAAGATGTCTTTAATGTATTTTTAAAAGATATCTATTATACATCACATGTTAAAGACATCTTAAAACAAATTTTTAATAGTATATTGTGATACAAGTGCGACAATTGCCAACTCGCACGTGTATCACATACTACTTTATATCATGAGTGCGAACTATGTGGAATGAGAGGGTGGAAGTAGGCGAGGGAATAAAATGCAACGGGGGGGCCCAGGGGGCGAAGCCCCCTGATCAGGGGTCTAGGGGGCGAAGCCCCCTGGCGGACGGCCCGCGCCGCAAAAGAGAAAGCTTTATGAAATATAAAGAGATTTTATTTATACAAGTATCTTGTTTTTACAATGAAATAATAGGCAAGCAAAATAAAAATAAGTCTTAATTTTCTTCTAATAGAAAATAACAAAAATAAATAAATAAAGTAAGGTAATCTTTGGTTTCTTTGATAAGTAATAACAAAAAAATAAAAATAAAGTAAATTAATCTTTGATTTCTTTAATAAGTAATAACAAAATAAAAATGAAAATAAATTAGTCTTTTTTTCCTTCAATAGACATGTTGTGTATTGTGCAGTTATTTAATGTTAATGAAATATATTTTGTTTGGCGTGCTGTTAATATTTCTTTCGAAATCTCTATATTCTTTATATTCTCTTTATTTGTTATAATATTTATAGTGTCTGATTGTAAGTTTTTTGTATTTTGCATGTTGTTTTGGATGTTGATGGATTTTCATTACTGATATTTAAATATGTTTTTGATGTTTCTGAAGTTGAAGAACTGGGCTTATTTATTATTTCCTGTGTAATTTGATTATAGATTTTTTTTTATTACTGAGGGAGTCTTCCACGTATCCTTCGGCAACAGTGCTAGATTTCCAGCCGCCATGTCTTTTAACGTCATAATATCAGCTCCTGCGTCTGCTAGTAGTGTAGCAGAAGTTCGACGGAAGGTGTGGCCAGTGTAACAATCAGGATGTGGTAGTTTTAGATATGATGCAATGATTTGTGGCATTTTGCCAAATGTGTTTATTCCTATTGGCTGTTTAGTGCATCGTCCGTTTTGATATTTTAAAAAAAACCTTGAAGTTTCAGTGTTTTTGGTCTTAAATTTATGTAATTTTAACAATGGTGTAAAACTCATTACTAATTACAAAGGATCTTGGTTTGTAATTTTTGTCATTGTAATTGAAACAAGGAAGATAGAATCCTTGTCTTCGATATCATTAATTGTTATTTTGGTCAATTCCTCCCTTCTACATGCACCGCAAATACCAAGAATCATAGCTACCTGTAAATAATTAAGTATATGTGTAGTATATTAAGTAGATAATGTATAGAATTTTTTATTAAATATAAAAATTGATTGATACCTTTATAGCTAAATATTTATTATCATCAGCTTCATTTAAAAATGTTTTGATTTGTTCCGCTGTCAAAACTTTTGATTTTTTAGGTTGATATCCTTTAGATTGTTTCTTCATAAATGAAGTGAGTGTATTGTATGTATTTAGATTAATATTATTGTTGATATTGAGAGTAGTTTTTAGCATAGAATAAATTGCCCACAAACTGGATGGTTTGTGGATTTGTGATAATTCTGTAAAGTATGCTAACAATGTGTTTTGAGAAAATGATCTTATATTTTGACAGTTGTCCAGGTTATAAATTTGTTGTATGCAGCTGTACATTTTTCTTTTGATTTTTCAGGCAAGAGATTTTCTATGGTGTTTCTTGCCATTTCTGTAATTTCTGGAGGTGATTCATTTTCACTGTTGTCAAATGTGATGTTTGATGTCATATTGGTTTTTTATATTGACTCGTTTCAATTATAGCGTTTTCGATTGGGGTGCACTGGCTGCACTGAATGTCAGGCGCGTGTTCGATTGGTAGTGCCAATGCGCACTTGGCTAGTGTTGCGTGTTCGTTTGAACGCACAACACTCGCATAGTGCGCACTAAGTGGCACGAGATATTTTGACGGTGCCAGTTCAGTGCACTGGATGCGTGCAAGCAGTAGGGCATTCTTTTGAACGAAAATTCGACATAATGAGCAATTCGGATTTGGCTCTCTTTAATATTTTGGAGACATTTTTGGAATCTTCTTCTAGTTTAAGCGAGCAAGAAGTAATAATTACAACTCTTCGAACTAGAAGAATAATTCCAAAAACTGTAAATTATGTAGAATGTGTGAAAAAAATGGATAATGACACCGTAAGTGTTATATCTTTTTATATAAACATCGAACCTATACCCTTTTTTAAAATATAATTAATGTACTTAATGTAATAGCATTTTTATACTGAATAATAATAATTTTTATATTTGTCATACGTGATATTCTTGATCATCTTCTATATTTAATTACATATAATAAAAATCATTACTTAACTGAACACAAGATGTCGAGGTTACTTTTTCGTTCTTCCCGGAATCTAGTCAACTCAAGTGGCACTGAAAATTTCGCGTGTTCTTTTTCACCTGCACTATTCAGTGCAACCCATGGAACTTGTCCAGTGTTCGTGTGAACTGAGTGCGCACTGGTGCGCACTAACTTTTTCCCAATCGAAAACGCTATTAGATTGATGCAATGCAAAAGACTGGAATGGGGACGTAGTGGCGGTTGCGCGCTGCGAGATGGCGTTAGGAAGAAAGTGTTTGTAGCGATTGTAGCATTTGCAGCGTGAAATAATGAGCTTGTAGCGTGGAATAATGGGTTTGAAGCGTGAAATAATGAGTTTGAAGCGTGAAATAATGGGTTTTGAAGCGTCTGTAGTGTGTTGCGTGTGAAAATGGCTACTTTGCGAACGGAAAACAGTGCGCAAAATAGGCATTTACGCGCACGCGTGATATAAAAGATTTTTATAATAGACATATATTAAATTAAATTATATAAATAATAATACTGTATATATTATTTTATTATACTTAAAGAACTAGTGTTATATAATTTGAGTTACGCGGGATTATGCTTTCTAAATGTATTTGCATATTCCGCGGTTCCAAGCCGAACATTCTCTATTATTTTTGCTGCCGACGGGTGACGGGCGACCGCATGGGCGACGGGCGAGGAGAACGAAAGCGTAACTTTGATTAAATTAGGTAATCTCTTTTATCTTGTATGTAAATTCTTTTTTTAAAGATATATAAAGCATTATGAAAAATTTTTATAACATTTTATTATAATATAATATGTGTGACACAAAATATTCTGCAAGTTTGAGATTAATTGTAAGAACATGGCAAATTAAGAATTTATTTAGGCATTTTATGCAAAAAAGATGTAATGATATATAATGACAAAATCAACTTAATGTGTATCTGTATATCGTCGTTGCATCTTAATGTAGACTACTGTAGACAGATCAAAAATTTGATATGCAATGGTGTATGTTTTCTGTCTACATTAATATACAACGATAATATGCGAATACACATTAAGTTTAATCGGCTATATATATTATACATTTTTTTGCATCAAATGCCTAAATTAATTATTATTTTGCCATCTGCTTACAAGTAACCTCGAACTTGTAGCAGAATACATTACTCCGTTACATTATTGAGTAATGTTATCAGTAATGCTATATAATTTAATTTTTGTATCTATTCAGGAAGCAAAGTTTAAATATGAAGAACAAACAAGTTGCTGTACATATTGAGAATGTCACACATGGAAAGTCCTTGTGGTCCAATCTTAGCGATTTTATTCAAGTTTTTCTTCATTTCGAATAATTGAGTTCAGACAGCGAAGAGTTCAGGTATACAAATTCTTCTTATTATCATTGTGTTTTCAAGCAAACTTGTTTATGGGACATTGTTGCTTTGTATGTTGTGCATGTTTATTTACGATATATAATTGATGGGTTTACTTTGTTTTAAGTATCAAGATTTTAAAGCTATATATTTTGGTTTTTAAAAATCAGTTGCAAAAAAGAGTTTTTCAATGTTTTTGCTATAGATATATTAATACTCTGGCATGATTGTGGTAATTTTTTGCATTGATTTTGAAATTATTGTCGTGATCAAATTCGACAATTATTTTATTTCAAAATGTTTTTTTATATAATGGTTTTTACTATATATATATATATATATATATATATATATATATCTTTATAAATCAATACATACATGTATTGATTTATAAAGATAATAATTTTATTAAAATACTTTTGTTTCTTTGAGTCAAAATATTTCTCTAGCTATATAATCGTATAAACCGCACTCAATAAAAAATAAAAGAAAAGAACATTTCAGAGGGAAGAAAAGAATATATGTTGATAATGTTAAGCAGTAGAAAATTTATATAAAATTTATATTTATATTCTTGCCATTTTAAGAGAAAATTTCCGCGAAATGAAGAAGCAGATGAAATAACTGCAGATTTAATACCTGAATTTCCACTGACATCCGTAGAGGAATATCTCCAATTTAACGACGTATTGAAGAACGATGAAGCACTTCGTAAATGTTTTGTAAGTATCTTTTTTGATACCTAATCAAACCATTACATACCAATGCTCAAGCTCGTATGACAATAAAAACAATGATAAATTATTGAATTAAGGCCATGTGTAACGAGCAATACGATATTATTTTATTATTCCGAGTTTTTATTAAGAATTCTAAAATATTTTATGAATAACCGGACGAATCATTCTGCTTCTAATTGGGGTCTTACTTTGTCGAACTATTTTAATGGTTTCAATTCATTGTAAATATATTTTGCGTTATAACTATGACTTAACTATATAACTTATATTGACTATGTATTGCGGATTTTATTAGAATTTTATGTATTTATTTATTATCGTTATTTATTATCACTATTTTTTTTGCGCACTGAAGAGGAGCAAGTAGTACTCGAACGTTAAGAGGAGCAAGTAGTGCTCGAAACGTTTGTGTAATTATTATTTCAAATTAAGAATTTTCCTCTAAATAATAAAATAATATCGTATTGCTCGTTACACATGGCCTTAATTCAATAATTTATCATTGTTTTTATCTTTTTTGAATTATACTAGATTTAGATTTAGATATATTTATTGCCGCCCCAATTGGGGATTACAAGGCGCTTTTTTCTCTTTTTAAAGGAGCGTTCCCAAACCTGTATTCCTTCCTTTACACTTTTTCCTTAACCTATACTTATACCTATAACTTAACCTAATTACATATTATCCAATTTTTGCCACGCCTCTCCTTTTCGCCGCCTTTTTCATCTTTTCTCGCATTTCTGCCCTACCTACAACACACACGTCCGCCGCCTTTCCCTAACCTTCTTATCCTAACTTAACTTACCTACGCAATCTTATATTCTACTTAGCTTATGTTGGACCTCCGCTTCCGGTTACCGTTATTCTTCCACTCCTTTCCTCTCTCTCCCTCTCTCTCTCTCACACTCACTCTCACACTCACTCTCCCCCTTTCTCTCTCCCCTCATCTCCTACCCTCTCTCATCCCCTGTCCTCCTTTTTCCTCCTTATCTTCTCCCCCTCCCCTTCCCTCTTGCTTTCTCTACCTTTTAACCATATTTCCCCTTCTCCCTCCTCTCCTAATATCTCCTTTACCATTTCCTGCCAGCTCTCTTCCCTTCCCCAATCATACATTCCTCCCACACATGCTCCCACGTCTCTAACCCTCTCCCACATATCCTGCACTTCCTATCCTCCTCCTTTTCCCAATACCTTCCCTTCATTTCATTCCCCAGTCTATACCTTGCCATCCTCCTCCACCTACCTTCCGCCCACCCTTTCTTCAATAGCCCGGAATCCCCTCCCCTTTAATCTGTTTTGTACCACTTATTGTATTCCGATTTCATCATTTTTCCTACCCTCTCTTCCCTCTGCTCCTTTCCATCCCATTCCTCAACTTCTTCCCATCTGAACTCCCCCTTTTCTCTTCTTTCCTCTATTTCCCTTAATACCATCCCCTTACCCTCAAAGAATTCCCTCCTTTCTCTCTCCCACTCTGACAATTCCCCTCCTTTCTTTGCCCTTTCTTTAATCTCCCCCAAACATATTCTCGCCAACCATCCTCCCTTACCCTCCTCTAGCCTTCTCTCATATCCCCATGCTCTTCTTCCCATCCTTGTCCTTATCTTTTCCCTTTGCAATTCCTCCCTTACTATATATCCAGGCGTTCCCCAATCCACTCCTAACATCCATCTCAGATACCTTTCTTGTATCCTTTCCAATCCCTCTCTCTCTTCCCATCCCCATATCTCCACCCCGTATCCTAAAACCGTCCATACTAACGCATCGAAGAGCCACAACCTCCTCCCCCAATTATTCCCAAATCTCCTCTTACCTATTCCCCATACCTGTCCCATAATTGCTGCTCCCTCTTTTTTCTGTCCCTTACCTGTCCCTCTTGCCCCCCATTCCTTTGAATCACATATCCTAAGTACTTGTACTCCTTCACCTCCTCTAATTTTTTTCCCTTCCAAAACCAACTAGCCTTTTTTAACCTCCCCTCCCCCTTTCCTGCATCTCATCACCTTCGACTTCTTCTCATTCAATTCCAGTCCCTTCCCCTCCAGATATCTCCCTAACCTCTCCCATCATGCACCTCATCCCCCCCTCATCTTCTGCCAACAGCACCACGTCATCCGCGTACGCTAACGTATAAACCTTGCCCTCTCCTAACCTCACACCCCCCCATCTCCCTTTCTTCATTTCCTCCTCCAAGTTCGCCATCAACATGTTAAACAGAAGTGGGCTCAGTAGGCATCCCTGTCTCACCCCCCTCCCCGTCCAAAACTTCTCCCCCACCTCCTCCCCTATTCTAACCCTGAACCCTATCTCTCCTAACACTTCCTCGCACCTCCTCACCGTCTCTTCCTTCACCCCCCTCCCTCTTAACGCCGCCATCAACTTCACTCTGTCCACCGAATCAAACGCTGCTCTCAGGTCCACAAACAGTAGTACCATTTGCTTTCCTTTCCTACTTATTTGTCTGTTTATTAAATAATTTAGTACATAGATATTATCCACCGTTCCCATCCCTTTCTGAACCCCGTTTGATTCGGTGGTAACATCCCTTTTTCCTCTATCTCTCTCTTCAATCTCTCTGCCAACACCGTCGCATATACTTTGTATAACGACGGTGTCAGAGTTACCCCCCTGTATTCCGAAAACCTCCTTTCCCTCACCCCTCTTCAAAATTGGCACCACCAGCCCCTACTCCACTCCCTTATCCACCCCTCCCCCTTCCATATCCTATTGCATATCTCCCATACCCACTTCTCTATTCCCTCTCCTCCAAATTTCCACACTTCTCCCGGAATCCCATCCACCCCCACCGCCTTTCTTTCCTTTATCCTACCTATCGCCCTCCTAATTTTCTCCCTTTTCTATCTGATTTTCTCCTCTCTCCTTCTCCATCCTACTTCCTCCCATTATCACTCTCGACTCTACCCCTCCAATAGATCTCTAAAATATCTGTTCCATTCTTCCATCTCAATCCCCTCTCCCATTCCTCCTTTTCCTTTCCCCCTTTCCCTCCTAACCACCTCCCAAACCTGCCCCTCCGTCCTCGCTTCCATTGCTTTCTTCGTCCACTCCTCATTCTCCTCCTCCTTCTTCTTTCTACATAATCTCTCATACTCCTTTTTTCTTTTCCTGTATTCTTCTCCTTTCCCCCCTATCCTCCTCCACCTTTTCAAACACCTTTGCCACCTCCCCCTTCTCTCTTCTACACTCCCTATCAAACCACTCTCTCCTTTTTTCTTTCTTCTCCTTCCTTCTCTCTCATTCCCCTTATCTAACACTTCCTGTTTCTTCTTTTCTCTCCTCCCACTCCCCCTCTACACCCTCCTCTTCTTGCTCATTCCTCTGCTTCCCCCATATTTCCCCTATCTTCTCCCTAAATTTCCTCTCCCCTCTTCCGTCCAGTTCCATCTCCTCCTCTTTTTCCTTTTCTTTGACAATGTAAAAAATTCGTCATTTAAAAAATGGCGATGACTTTAAATTCTTACAAAATGACTTGAGTAACATTTGTTACATATAATTTTGTCCCTTGGAACAAACATTTACCTTTGGTAACTTTCTCGTATCATTACAAACAACAGAGTTAATTTAAATGATCGAATTACAGAAAACACCCGGGTATATAGTATAATTTATGCTGGTTTTTTTTCTATTTAAAAAAGTTTTTGCATTTTGTTTAAAAATGAGAAAATATTGCTTTATGTTTATTAACAAGTTTTATAAAAACAAGCTTATATATACATATATATATATATATATATATATATATACATATATATTAACCCTTAGTCCCGACTCATGGGTCGTTTGCGACCCATACGAACAAGTGATTTTTCCTTAGGTACCTCCATTTCTTAATAACAAACTATATAAAAAAATAATTTTTATCGAAATATTATGATTGGGACTTCAAGTTGAAGGTTGCAAGAAGCTCCATGAATTTCTTCAGATTTTTTAAAGCGTTTTTACTGATCCAAATAACGCAAAGACGCAAACGACCCATGAGTCGGGATTAAAGGTGCCGAAAAGAACCGTTGGGACTAAGGGTTAAAAACCTTTTAAAACTGATTTTGTTGTATTTGCTCTTTATCGTCAATACTAACATTTAATCAATATATTGTAATATTGGTTCTTGTACGAGAAGTATATTTTAATTGATTTTATAACTTTTATGAAACCCATCTTATATAAAACTAATTTGTGTGAATCTTTTTTTATTAAATATTTCTTGGCTGTTTCGCGACAAAATCAAAATTAAATTATTATTTCCCAGATGTTGAAAACATTATATAGACGCATTTCCCAAATAATTTCATATCAATTAAAGTAAAAAAAAAAGATTTTTTAAAAGTTATTTCTGCTAACTATCGCTTTCAATTAATTTTCTCTAATTATAAATAAAAATGAGTTTAAATTATGCAAACATATTCCTAAATTTACTCTAATAATTTCCAAACGATAGCAGTAATAAAAAATAAAAAATAAAAATAAATAATAAAAAATATAAAATTTGTCCAATCGATGTCCATTAAGCGTATTTTAAACTTGATTTCCAAGTGAAATATTATTTCCCAAACGTTAAAACTATTACAGACGTGTTTTCCAAATAATTTTACGTTAATTAAAAAAAATGTTTTTCGAATTATTGTCTGCTGACTATACGGTCAATTTATTTTAATAATAATAATATGAACTAATATTCCGAAACTACGAGAATCTATTCCTAAATGTGCCCAAACAATTCCCAAGCGATTGGCATAACTGATAATAAGGAAATATAAAATTTGTCTGCTAAATAGATGGAGATCCACTCTCCTGTTTAAATAGATGGAGGTCCACTCTCGGTGTGCGAGGGAGAGAGCACGACTTTCGGACTATCTCTGTCCTTTAGTTCGTGCTTCAGCTGACTCCTAAGAACGCGCAATCTATTATATATATCTATGTCGTATATACATAGCCACTGACGAGGTACTGTTAAAGACCGTCGGCCCTGGGTAAATTTCTGTCTCTACCAAGTGGACCCGGTGAGCCCGGCATCGGTCAATAATCATAACAATAAAATTAATAAGAACATTTTACAAATAATAATCCTAAGGTCCGCCAGTAATAATTAATAAAAATCTTTTCTCAATGATAAAAGGCCGACCAAACTGGCATTCATTTATTATAAATAATTAGTTAAACTACAACGTTTTCGGCTGTCATTGCAGCCCTTTTCAAGTAATCTATAAACAGTTACATAAAAATAATTATAATTTTAATACAAACATTTCATCGCCAATAATTCATATACAAAAACATGTTACATACCAAACGTAAATGCATAATAAATAATACAATAAGTCCAATTCAATGCATACCACCGACAATATTCACAATTGTTTTAATGAACAATGTAGAACTGACAGAAGTAAGCAAGAAATAAATAGATGTTATTTATTGTTTATAAATTGTTTATTAAAACTAATAATAAAAATCTCTCCTCAAAGTTAAAAGTCGACCAAACTGGCAATGATTTATTATAAATAATTAGTTGAAATACAACGTTTCGGCTGTCATTGCAGCCCTTTTCAAGTAAATCTATAAAAAGTTACATAAAAATAATAATAATTATAATTTCAATACACTTTATTGCTACAAATAATTATACATTCAAATACAAAAATATGCTACATACCAAATTAATACAGTAAATCAAATTCACTGCAAACCACCGACAATATTCACCATTGTTTTGACGAACAATGTAGAACTGACAGAAGTAAGCAAGAAATAAATAGATGTTAACAGTTAGCAAGAATCTTAGTCACTACGCGTTAAGAAAATAGAGACAAAACTAATGTGTCTTTTGCAATTTAAAACCTTATAACAAAGTCAAATAAATAAATAAATAGGTAAAAATAAAAATAATTTAAATAGCGTCAAGAACACGATCATAAATCCCACTAAAATTCTCCGTATCTTTCTGTAAATTAATGCTTTTACGTTGTTTTTTTATATAAAACATTTCTGCAATTTCTCTTTTTCTTGTTTGTTTTTCTTGATGCAAGATCACCGGAGAATCCCAACGGAACTCATGATCGTTGCAAGTCCGATGCAAACTAACGACTGAATGCAATGTAGGTCTCTTTTGATATTATTTCTATGTTCTTTGATGCGCGTTTCTAAATGTCTCTTTGTCTGTTTAATATAAGTAGAATCACAATTCGCACATTCAATTTTATACACGACATCGGTTCTTTTTAAGTGTTCTATCCTATCTTTTCTTCTTTTTATCAATGTGTTTAATTTTTTTGGAACAGTATATAGTACACCAACTCCATTTTTATTAATGCAACGCGTAATATTCTCGCTCAAATCTCTTATGTAAGGCAACACCATACAAGTTCGCGCATCAAATTTATTACGGTTTAATGAGCTAAGATTACCGCCAAATTTAATCGCTCTACGTCTTTTATAATTATTTTTATTTATAATCGTTAATGGATAACAGTTATTACGAAGAATTCCTCTAACTATATTAATGTTTTCTTCGTGAAACATAAGGTCAACGAGTAAAATAGCTTTATCTACTAGGCGTGTGATCACACTAAGTTTATATCTCATCGGGTGATTCGATAGAAAATTTATATATCGACCTGAAAACATAGGTTTACGGAACCAATTAGTCGTTAATCTGCCACAATACGTATAACATTTGTGTCTAAAAAACTCAGAGAACAATTGTTCTCTAAATCAAATGTAAATTTAAGTCAAGTGTGAAAAGCATTGAAAATGCTAAGCATATCCTCTATTTTTACTTTCGAAATAATTGAAAAAATATCATCGACGTACCTAAATAACAAGAAGGTTCGAAATCCAATTGACGCAAACTATATGATCCAAATCGTCCATAACCATGTCGGACAAAATTGGAGACAAAGGAGACTCCATAGGAGAACAGAAAATCGGTTTGTAAAATTTACCGTCAAAACAAAACTAATTGAGCACATAACAGTGTCGATCGCGTGTAAAAACTGTGCAAGGTTAAACGTAGTAAATTATGAAATGTCCTTCCATCGGTTTTCTATTGCTATCCTTAATTAATTCCCACGGGGTGTTAGTGAAAAGTGAAATCACGTCCAACGAAATCATAACCTGACTCTATCGTCAATGTTTTTATCTTTAATAATTTTCACAAAGGACCAACTATCCTAATCGGGTTTAATAACATCCGTAGTTGTAAGACTGGTCAATCACAGCCGTTTCATTCTTTAGGGTGTCACGTCCGGACGATGGTTCCTTTTCTCTTCCTACGCCTAGGCTAGGGAGAAAAGAGGGCGCTCTCTATTTTTTGTGGGGCAACTTACTTTCACCGGCTATACCTCAGGGACGCCGAGAGCTAGGACTGATGTTGGAGATCTAGGGGATGGAAAGGCTCTAGGATGAAGAATTTAAGTCACTAGTAGGCGTGGCGAAACCTCGTGTAAGATTCTTGAAGTTTTCTAAATGGAGATTATTTCGTCGGCGGTCAAATCGTCCGTCATAAAATCACAAATGACGCCAAACTAATGCTTTGAATAACAATTTTAACATAAACTCGTTTATAGTTCTACCGACAATTGTGCAGTTCATTTATTATTTAGAAAAAGGGATCCAAATTGTCCTCGGGATATCTTATAATTTCTACTCTTAAGGGTCGACAGGCGACATGGTGGAGACGCCTATCGGCCGGCCGGGAATTACAGATTCTTATTTTCCAGATATTAGCCAAAATATTGAATGAATCTAGGATTAAATTTAGGATATTCTTAATCAGTAAGCTCATTTGTAGTCCTCTAAAGAGCTATTTTATAAAAAAAAAGATAAAAATAAAAATTTTTAATAAACTTGGGGAATGCGCAGCTAGGAACGGGTAAGGTTAGGTTAGCCGCGAGTCCGTATTTATTTATTATAAATTTTTAAGAGCGAAAATGTAATATCCGGCCTTTTAGAGGACTGCTTTATTATATAAAGAATATATTAAAAAAAAATTCACGAAGTTATGTCACTTATTTTATGAAATATCTGGACGATAAGATTCTCACTAGATTTATAAGGAGCAGGGGAAATTTCTGTGGTAACATGCTGACTGCTTGACAAGAAGAGAGCATCATTCCATCTGTGTCTCTCTTACATCGCATATGTAGTAGCGTCCATGTAGGTACAAACACTAATACGTGAGCACACAGATGCAAATATTGAGAGATAATGTCAGCAAAAAGGCTATCATATTATTTTTATTTTTTTGTATATGTATGCATATGTAAATAAAGAACAAAAATAAAACTATTTTAAATAATAAGAATCTATTTGTGTGTGTGTGTGTGTAAATAAAAATTAATAAAAAAATTAAAAAATCAATTTATATACCATTCAATTCTTTATTCGTCCCCTAAGGGATTGAAGGCGCTTTTGAAGGAGCGTTCCCAACCTTACAAACTCTACGATAATTTATATACCATATATTTTTTTATATCATAAAAAAAATCCTAGAAATGTACTTAAATTTTTCGTAAATCCTCGATTTTTTTCATTGCTTCTAAACATTCAGCTAAAAGAGCAGTTGAGACTATTCGAATAAAAAATATTTTTAACGTATAAGACGGGCAACAAGAGCCAAATCGCGGATGACAATGCGTTATCCTAACGAAACTAAATAATTTTCCGTTAGAATTAAATACCGGTGCACAAGGCACCAAATTTTACTTGGACACGGCCAAGATTTTAAAATATGAAATAATCTCATATTTGAGATTTAATTTCAATACCCCCTTTAACCCCCCTACGGAAATAAATAAATGAATGCAAGAGAAAAATAGGAAGAGCAGTCGCCCGGCAAGCGAAAGGTCTCGGGTTCGATTCCCGATTCAGCGATTTTCGGATCTATATTTTTCTCTTGCATTCATTTATTTATTTTCCGTAGGGGGGTTAAAGGGGGTATTGAAATTAAATCTCAAATATGAGATTATTTCATATTTTAAAATCTTGGCCATGTCCAAATAAAATTTGGTGCCTTGTGCATCGGTATTTAATTCTAACGGAAAATTATTTAGTTTCGTTAGGATAACGCATTGTCATCCGCGATTTGGCTCTTGTTGCCCGTCTTATACGTTAAATTTATATTTATATTACAGAGCCTTGTTAAAACTCTTATAAAAAAATATTTTATCTATTTTTTGCAAATAATATAATATATTTTTTATTTAGGAGTCCAAAAATATATGTTACGCATAAGTTATTTATAATTTTAAGTAATTATTATTTTAAGTAATTAATATTTTAATATTATATAATTTACATTGTTTTTCTTTTAGATTTTATAATAAATATTTTTTTATTTAATTATCTTTATGCATCATAGAGTTGTTTGTTGCAGATAGATTTAGAGATTTAGAGTCTGAAGGGCGGATCACTTTCAATAAAGAGGCGTGGATATCTTTGAATCAACGCCATTATATTGTAGCAGGTAACGTATGTATAGTGGGGGTTTCAGTGAGTAAGAATCTCACACTACTCCGGAAAACCGGGATGCCTTTTGAAGGTTTCCCCCACTTAAAAAAAAAAACAAAAAAAAACGCTACTGCCATATTAAAAGCTCTAGCTTTATTCAATTAATAATCCAATATAATAATCAACAATTATATTTTTATATAATATATAGTATTTTAAATATTTTTAAATATTTAAAATATTTTTTTTAAGATTAATTGAGGAAAAGAATATTTTAAATATTCTTTTTCAATTAATTTTTAAAACAAATTTTTAAAAATATTTTTATATATTCAAATACTTATTATATTATATAAAAATTATTGTGAATTATACTCATTGGAGTAATAATTATTGATTGAAGCTTGTTATGGCACAAACTGAACATCTTGTACATTGTCTGTATAATATTTTACTTATTTATAAAATGTATTTTATAAATAAATGAAATATTATATATATATATAATATATAAGATTATAATATATAAGATTATTGATGTTACATTGTATAACTCTCATTTCTTTCTCTCTGCTACATAAGTACTTATGACGTGAAAGAACTTACGAGTAACGTATG